AGTTTCTGCTTGGTTAGCTATCTTCAGGCCTTGGTTATTCCCTCACAGGTTTCTGGCGTGGTCCGTTATGGATCGGCCCAACGAGCCCATGCTTGCCGAGTGTGAGCTTCAAATCTATCGACTTTGTCGACTTTGGTACCTGATTGTGATTAGTCTTTCTGCCTTAGCCATGCTGCCTGCTAAGTCAATGACACCTGCAACCCGAAGTCCTTTGAGGGCTGGTCTTGCTGTGCCTCTGCTCTTACTGATTGAGCTTGAAGTTTGGAAGCTCTACAGGCAACTGCTGCTTTGAGAGCTAGGTTTTCTCGGGTTAGGCATTTAATGCATATTGATCATCTAGATGCCCTGGAGTTGGCCCCCTATGGTGTTTAGGGACCCAAAGTTGGAGGTGTTGGTGATCTCCACTTGGACTTAGTCCATGCTTCCTCTTCCTTCTCCTTTAGTTGTAATTTGCCCTGATTCTAGTCTTTCCATCATCCCCTTTCCACCTGGTTCCAGCTCTGAAGCATCTGAGGGTTTGAGATCCGGGTCAGGGTTTAGCTTTGGGCGTGGCCTTAGCTTGGCCTTCTCTGGCGGTGGACTTGTCCACTTCAACAGTGGAGGCATTTGGAAGTGGATGGGGCAGTTGCTTTCCCAATAACCTCCACTCCTTCCCCAATATTCCACATTTTCCCTCTTCGAACACTTTATCTTGTGTTTTTATTTTTCCAAAACCTTATATCTAAATGATACCGCTAAGTAAATTCACAGTATTGTGGAAATATATGGAACCTCTAAAATGCCTACTAATTGGCATGAGGCGGGTTATGAATTTTTGGTGAATTCCAGATTTTAAAGATTTGTTAGCATGAAATATTTTTAGGTTTTCTAATTGAAAATGATGGAGCACATCTTTGTGCAGTTTTACGCCAAATAACATATGATTTCACTTTGTTGCTTCCCAAGGTAGAATACCTTGGAGCTCATTGGGCGAGGCAGGTGGACATTATTCATCAGTGATATAGGAATTGTTCAAGTGTCACTTAATGGTCATACTGATGATAGGTATATACTTTAGAACATTCATTTTTGCCTAGAATAACCACCAGAAGGTTATTACACATTCTGAAGCCCTTGCAAACCTTCTTTAACATCACTAGTCACTGCCTGTGGAGAGGTCTTGCAACTGCGTGTCCTCCTAAGGTTCCCTATGTCAAGAAAACGATCAATTTAAAGTGTTCTCTCCTAACCTACCAGAGGACCCAAAACAGAAAATGGAACAGTATGTTACTTTCAAGCACTGCTTCCATTTTCCAGTATGACAATTTTTGGCCCTCATGTAACGCATACGAGAGAAAAGCTACGTTCTTTGTAAGAGGACAGGTTGCTTGCAAATCACTAGTAACTTGCTTGGCCACCTCAACTGGGCTGCCACCAGGTGGCAACATTGCGTCCACAACAAATTCCCGGACCCAAACCACCCCAGTGTTCATGACTTGAGTCTGCAGTCTTCTAAACAAAGACCCTAAGTCCATTCCATGCACCCGCCAAACCCCCTATTTATGAATGAAAATAATTTACACATGACTCGACTGATGATGTTGAACACTTCCGGAACAAGTGTTTCACTGACGAATTTTGTTCGAACCACAATGCTGTAAGTGCTTCACCTACGTACTACAAATTCAAATAATCGCCAACAGAACCTGATACCTAACCTAACCAGTGCCTAAATAGGTAGAATATGGTAATATAAAATAATAATAATTTATATTTGAGAAAATTCCAGTTTTAAATGAAAAGCATGTAAAAATTCCCGAATGCGTCTTTGGGGTCGACTGCTGGATAGAATAGACTTGGTCTGAGGACGGGTTGGAGTCTGAGTAGCTGGAGTCAGATTTAATTAGCTACATTTCTATTAAGAGCTGTATCAATACAGACCTGTTAGCCAAACAGTCCCAATACAGATACTCTGATGCCAATACTGTGCTTGATATTGTTATTACACATTCCCGTGTGCAGTCCCCATGGTGCAGTGGTAAAACATTCGCTCGGCGCTTCGCGAGCACATTGGCCTGGGTTTGTATCCTGGCCGGGGAGAATTTACTGGGCGCCAATCCTTAACTGTAGCCTCTGTTCACCCAGCAGTGAATGGGTACCTGGTTGTTAAAGATTTGGGCGGTTGTATTCTGGGGAAAAATTTGGATTAAAGACTTACCAGAAATGCTATGCATGCTAGAGGCTTTACAAGAATGTAAGAACTCTTGTCGATATAAATAAATAAATGTTAGAACTTTAGACATGCAAATGCTTCTCATAGGTTTGCAGATGTTGATATAGTAATTAGTAGCACAATATAATCGTTATAATAATCATAGCACAATTATTCCTGTGTTGGCCACAAAATAAGCTTATGTCAGATAGTCTCCACAGCAGTGATTACTGATTACTAACACTTAAAGAAATTCATAATACCTGTATATGGGAACCATACAGCTACTGCATATTCCAGTTTTGGTCTTGCAAAACTCATGGACAATTTCTTTAATATTTTGCCATCCTTGTATTTAAAAGCAATTCTAAAATTGGTAAGAATACAGCATAGGCTCCTTGCATAATGTTCTTTATAAAATCTTATCATATAAAGAACATGTATGACTCTCAGATGTCAGTTTTTCTATCCAGAACCATCCCTAGATCTCTAACTTTATCAGAGTTCTTTAAAGCCTTTTCACATAATTTGTAAGTTGTCTGGCTTACTTTCTTCTATTGCACATTCCAGAACATGGCATTTAGTCACATTGAATACCATTTGCCACATGGTGCTCCATACACTTTTGTCTAGGTTATTTTGAAGAGCATGACACTTGTCGAAGTCTCTTATCTTCCCTAGTAGCTTATCATCAGCAAACATGGTTGTATTTCTTATAGTAGGTAATTTATATAGATGATAAATAATACAGGTGCAAAAACTGAATCCTGTGTGTGTGTTTGTGTAATTACCCAAGTGTAGTTACAGGATGAGAGCTATGATTGTGGTGTTCCGTCTTCTCAGTACTCGTCATATAACTCCTTTGAAACTACCGACTGTTTTGGCCTCCACTACTTTCTCACTTAACACACACATACAAATTGTCAACAACACAACTATACATATAAACATTTCATTCACCTGGGCACTAAGATGCTTGAACTACCGACCACATGAGTGGGAGACTGAAGCTGTATCCAACATGCTATGAACAGTCTTAACACCTTTGCTCTCCATCAACGCCGCTGGCGTTCAAAATTTTTCTCGTGTCCGAGCCGGGAACGTGAGTAGCGTCCACATTTTAAAATATTTGTTTAAAATTTAAATTTTATCCAATCAATCTGGGAGTGGTTTTAAAATGAGCGCCTTTAGATTGCACACAATTTGATACCAAAATGAAAGATATAACACAAAAATTGATGTCAGAACACTGGAAAGATTATAAATACTTTTTGCATCCAAAATTTAAAATATTTGTTAAAATTCCATTTATTGTGCTATTGTTATGGGACTAGTTTTAAATGGCGCACCTTTAGATTGCGAACAATTTGATACCAAAATTAAAGATGTAACACGAAAATTGATGTCAGAACACTGGAAAGATATAAATAATTTTGTGATGATGAGCGTCCAAAATTAAAATATTTGTTAAAATTCCAGTTATTGCTCTATTATTATGGGACTAGTTTTAAAATATGCGCCTTTATATTGGGAACAATTTGATACGAAAACGAGCGATGTAACACGAAAATTGATGTTATCAAACCGAACGAGTATACACATTAGGTTGCGGGTGTGATAATTGGTGCTCGTTCACGGGTAACTTTAAGCTTTACTAAGGGGAGTCACGCTGGGCTTTTGGACAATATATGCATATACACCTGCAGGGAATTTAATTGCGAACACAGTGATACCAAAACGAATGACGTAGCACGAGAATTCAGGTGAGAAAACTGAAACGAGTATACACAATTCGGTGTCGCCGCGCGCTCGTCCGCACGCTCGAGCGCACCGCCAGGAGCAGTTCGTGCAAACAAACGGAGCGCACGCTCGGGGTGCGAAAGTGTTAATAAGGAAAGATTCCAGAAGCAACTAACTGCTGCCCAGCTAGAATTTTAGGACTTTCTCTGACTGCTACTAAACACACAGGAATTTGGGATCCAAGCCCCACGTCATATTAATTCATATTGAATTCTGAATTTACAAATGCTACAAAATGGCTTCTGGAACTGAAAAGCACGAGTTATGAGGGTAGACTAGAGGTGTTAAATATTCCAAAGCTAGAATATAGAATAAAAGAGGTGATGTGATCTCCACTTACAAAATAATAATGGGAATTGACTAAATTGACAGAGGAATTTCTGAATGTGGCAACCTCAAGAACCAAAGGCCACGGATTCAAGCTACTGAAACAAAGGTGCCGAAAAAATATTAGAAAATTCACTTTCGCAAACAGTATGGTAGACGGTTTGAACAAGTTAGGTTAGCAGGTGGTGGAGGCCAAAACTGTCAGTAGTTTCAAAGCATTATATGACAAAAGAGTGCTGGTAAGATGGGACACCACGAGTGTAGCTCTCATCCTGTAACTACACTTAAATGATTACACATACAGGCTTTCTGTCCCCAACAAAACGAACTTTGAGTTAAGCCTTACTCACTACTTTTGTGGTAAGCAAGTGAAATGCATAGAGGGAAGAAGTTGCTGAAGCCAATTCCATTCACAATCTTAAAGAAATAGATGAAAACATTAATGTTGAGTTGGGTAATTAGTGTGGATAGAGCACTAGATCTCACTTCCCTCCTCGAGTGTAATAGGTAAGCACTGACAAGTAAGCATGGAGTGAGACATGCTGACTGGATTTCATTAAACATGAAATCAAGAATTATAAACTATATAACAAGTGGTGTTAAAATAAGCACAAATTTAGGTAAGCTAGTATGATGGGGTTGTTATTTTGACATTAATAACCTAGTGACATTCTCCCTGCAGCAGTCCAGTAGTCCAGTTGAGGGGAGTCAGGACCCAGGCCCTGAGATTGACCCCAACCCTCTTCCTCTACCTCCAGTGCCCCATGAGGTCATGCGGACAGCCTCTGAACGCCATCAGAAGGGGCTAATGTGCCCATGGATATACCAAGTTTTAACGCAGGTTGGTTAATTTATTATGTGCTTGCCATTGTAGGCATATAGAGTACTAGCTATGTATGTACATGAATGGGTGTGGACACACAGCAGTAACCATGGCTCATGGCCAATTAATTATTCTTTTCTTTTATAAAATATTAATCGTTTTGAATTCTAGAACTTAATGTCTGAGTAGTCCTTGCTTCATTCATTAGTACAGTGTAAAGTTCAGTAATACTTTAATAATGCTTTAATGATCCTTAGATTAACTTTGATAAAGTAACAGTTTTATAAAAAGATTATATGAGGTTTTCCATTATTTTAGAAAGTCATTTGTGTACACATAGAGAAAGTGTATAGTCACCCAAGTGTAATTCCCTAGGTGTAGTTACAGGATGAGAACTTGCTGATTGTGTCCTGTCTAACAAATAATGTCATATGATGCTTTAAAACTGCTGATAGTTTTGGCATTCACCACTTCCTGATTTCACTTGTTCCAACCTTCTTCACCTGTGTTCTCAATAGAGAACTTTTGAGCATATTTTCAGCACCTTTGCTTTCTAAGCTCGAGTCTGTGAGCCCGTGTTACAGAGCACCAGCTGGACTGTTAAAGACTAATTTGGTGGCCAGTTGAGTCAGTCTGACTGTGGCCACCAAGTCAGACAAGCAATTCAACATATAATGTTCAGTGTGTGTGGCAAGGAGGTCACAGGTCTTTTGAGCATTAGAAAACGGCCATAAATCCAAAAAGGTTGGGAACCACTGTTCTCAATATTGCAGGTTAAAATTTTTTTTGCCAGCTTTGCCCAATCGATTCATGTCAAATCCTTATGCATAGTTAATGCCTCCAGTCTGTTCTCAAAGCTATTGTTTACCAGATTTGGAAGCCATAAGTTTATAGTTTATGGGTCTTCTATGTTTCCATTTTCATAGAATGGAACTCTGCTTTTTTTGCACGTGTCTGCGAATTTTCCTATTTTTGTAGATGTTTGGAAAATAATGTGTAGCTGGGGTTCAAGTCTTAGATGCACACTTGCTGACAACCCTTAGCAAGACTTTATCTGGCCCGACTGCTTTTTATTTGTCTAGTTACATATTTGAATGTTTTTTCTACTGTGATGTTACACACGTCTTGGTACAATATTGTGTTAATAGTCCTTATTGTGGCTGCTTCTCCAAAAATTTCATTTTTAATAAATACACTTTTGGAACCGTTTGCTTAGTGTTTCACATATTACCTTTTCAGTCTGAGTTTGTCTTATTATTTTTAGTCTTTGGACTTTCTACTTTAGACTGTAGTTACAGGATGAGTCAACACACTCATGGTGTACCATCTTCATAGTACTGTCTCATATGACACTTTGAAACTAGTATGATTTTGGTATCCACTTTCTTATATTATTTTGTACAGATGTTCCCATAGCGTGAATCTGTGACCTCTAGTTCATGAAATTCCTTCTGTGTTGTGTTGATTCCTGTTGCTATTTTGTATATTGTGATTATATAGCCTCTGTTTTTCCTCCTGTCCTCTAGCTTGGCATGTTTAGTGCCTCCAGCCTCTCCTCATAGCTCAAGTTTTGAAGTTCCTGGAGCCATTTAGTAGCATGTCTTCGTGCCAATTTCCATGTTCTTCAGGTATGGGCGGCACCACTGATGCATATTCTAATATTGGTCTCGCAAATTGCATGAACAGTTTCTTCAATATTTCTCTGCCCATGTATTTAAACGGGTTTCTGAAATTTTGTGATGTTGCATAGGCTCCTGTCACACTAGCCTTTATGTGATCCTCTGGTGACAGCTGAATATACAGAACCACTCTTGCATCTCTTTCCTTGTCAGAAGTTTTTAGTATCTTTTCACATAATTTGTTGGTTAAATGTTGTCTGTTTGGAAATTCTTCATTCCATTACATGATATTTATTTACCCTGAGTTACATGTTCCATGTGTTGCTCCTTTCAAACATTGTCCAAGTCATTTTTGAGGGCAATGAAGCCATCCAAGTCCCTGACACTCCCTAGCATTTTAGCATCTGTAAATTTATACATGTAACTCTGTATTCCCTGTGATAGATCATTTACATGCTATAATGAACATTACCAGTGCAAGAACTGAAGCTTGAGCTTCTCTGCTAGTGACATTTCTCCAATCGGATACCTTGCCTCTGATCACTGCTCACATTTATCTGCTCAAAAATTTCTCATCCAATTTAGATGTCTGTCACCCCTCCAGTGTGTGTTCGCACTTCTAAATTGTTTTATTTTCCTATATCTGTTAAATGTCTTAACAACCTGTTGAAGGTTTCGGGATCAGTGTCCCCGCTGACACACTGGAAGCCTGGTCTCTAACCAGGCTTCCTGGTTGCTGGTATTATTCACCAGGCTGTTTGATGTGGATAAACTGCCTTATCCACCAGGCTGTTTGATGTGGATAAACTGTCTTATCCACCAGGCTGTTTGATGTGGATAAACTGTCTTATCCACCAGGCTGTTTGATGTGGATAAACTGCCTTATCCACCAGGCTGTTTGATGCAGCTGCTCACAGCCTGACGTATAAGTCGTAGCCTGGTTGATCAGGTATTCTTTGAAGGTGCTTGTCAAGTTCTCTTTTTGAACACTGCGAAGGGATGGCCAGTTATGCCCCTGTATGTGTAGGATGTTGAAAAGACTTGGTGCCTTTGACGTTGATAGAGTTCTCTCTCAGCGTACCTATTGCACATCCTGCCTTGCTGTCTGGTCTCATGTGGTTGTATTTCTTTGTGCAGGTATGGAACCAGTCCTCCTAATATTTTCCAAGTGTAGATTATTTATGTATCTCTCCTGCCTGTGCTCTAGGGAATACAGATTTAAAATTTTTAGGCTGTCCCAATAATCATTGCCCCTAATAATCATTTAGGTGTGCCCTAAATGTATCGGCTACTATGGGTGTAGTGAAATGATAGTCTTGTTAACGGCATCAAATCTCGATGCCGTTACCGGAGTCAGGTGAAACTTACTCCGGACCGAGTTGCTTCCGAAGGGAAAAGGGGGGTTGCTATGTGCATTTAATATTTTTTGTTTGTTTATGTTCAGTGCAGTGATCTTTTGGACTGTTAATAGCAGTGTTTCTGTGGGGAGCTTCCTTCGGCTCCCTGGAGCTATCAGATTGATATGCGATATGTTAGTCAAGGGCATTATTCAATGGAGTTCAGCCTACGGGGGATCACGAGCCAGAACCTGGCCCCCTTACAGAGGCAAGGGAGCAATGGCCTCTGGGACCCCCCCTGTGGTTGGGGGCACTCCATGTCTGCCATCGACCAGGGTTAGGCACCCAGAAAGGTAGGCATAACAAAACAAACCCCACCTGGTAAGAAAATTGCAACCGAAAACCAAACAGGGAGACAGAATTCCCCCAACTATGAAGGAAAGAAGCATACAAGCAAACGTCACATCACCGCTGCCGCATCGCTCGTCTGTGCAGCCCCTGTTCCCCCAAAGGAAGAGGGGAGAGCCCTGGACCCTCGCTCCGGCTGCTCCAACCCCCAGTTTGTTGGCTGATGCGATCTGGGGGCGGTCGTCAACTTGGGCCTTGATTTCTTGGCAGTGTTTTTCCTTAGTGATGTTTCCTGCTGTGTTGTGGTGGCGGCCACGTGTAAAATCAGTGTACTAGGGCTGCATGCGCTTAGCTCAACATTTACTTTGCCTTTGGGGCCAACTAGGGTTTCATGGCCTTTGTTTCACCTTGGGTAGGAAGTGGTGGTGTTGCTGGTTGGGGTGCACGGTGTTGTGCAGCTTGCCTACCAATGCAACGGCCGTGTTCCTGTTTCCTCTGGAACTTTGTACTTTTGCTGGGGTTTTATTTTATTTTTTTCTTTGCCTGGAAGGGGGTCTGCCTTGTTGGGCTATTAGTCCACTTATGATATTTTGGTGGCCCTCCTCTAGGCCCTTGTGTTGCTGTGATTGTACACATCACAGGGGTTTCTGTGTTTAGCTCATATCCCTTGTTACCTCTAGGGTTTAACCAGTTTTGCAACACCTTGTTTCAGCTTCCCGTAGCAGTCAGCCTATGGGCCCTGGAAAACCCTGTCGTGGCTCGGTAGACCGATGGATGCGTCTTCCAGGTTCCAGCTCGCCTCGTGTGAGTTTGAAGGTCGCTCTGTACCCTTGTCTCAGGGTGACAGTCACCAGTTTTGCCTCCGTCATGCTTCCTGTTGGGTCAACGACACCTTTGACCCGGAGTCTTGCAAGATGTGTTCTCTGTTTATGTTCCAATTTACCCATTCTGTAGACATTAAGGCTCAGGTATAGTTGGCATTTGCGTTGCATGCTCGGTTTAGGTTGCTGTAATGTGCTAGGTTGGTTGCCCACCCGGATGCCCCGAGACTGCCCTGTTTTGGTTATAGGGACCTGAACTTGGGGGGCATTAGTCGATTCGACTTTGGTTCAGTTCGCACAATTTGACTTTGGTTCAGTCCACACTCCCCAGTCCTTCCCCAGTTGGTGTTGTTCGCCCTGCTCCCCCCCTCTTTCCCCCGTCCCCTTGCTCCCGGCTCCCAAATGTTTGAGGGGTTTCGGCATCGGGGCGGGGTTTAGTTGGTGATGAGACTCCGGCTGCTCCGAGGGCTGCCCCATTCGGGTTGGGGATGGAGGCATTCGAGCCTTCTCCTTCTGCCGAAGCTTCTGGGGTCCCACCAGCAGACTGGTGGGACTTCTTTTCTGCCTTTTCCCTGGACTCTCCATTTTCTTAATTAAGGAATAAAGGGTGGGGAGGACAACTCTGCCCCGGGTCCTGGTTTGGAGCATCCAGGCATGGGGGAGGAGTTGACCTGGGGGCTTGGGCCCCCTTTTGATCCTGCTTGGGTTTTAGTGCCCTCTTCGCAGGGTTTCTTCTTGCAAGGAGGGGGGGGAGGGTTTTCTTACCCCCTTTCCCTGTAAGAGTATGATTTGGGGTCAGCTCCTTCCCGGGTTCCCTTGGGTTCCTCAGCTCCTTCATTCCGTAGGTTTTCTGCCTCTCGAACCTCGCCTAAAGTTCGGGAGGCTCTTGCTGCGTACCTCCTGTGAGACCTGGATTCTGCCTCTGTGATGGATCCATCCTCGTTTCAGTTCGGTTCTTCTTCTTCCCCATATTGGGTGCGTTATGAGGTCCCGAAGTCTTCCTGGCTGGCAGACTGCCCTTTCTTTTCGCATGGAGTGTGGCATCGGTTTTGTCGGACCCGCACGCTCGAATGGCAAGAGGCTGCTACCATTCTGCATGTTTACCTGGGGGCGAGTTTGAGCGCTTTAACGCGTGCTAGTTTGCCCCTGTGCTTACTCGGGATGTTGGATTTGTGTAGCTGCACATGCAGATTCCCGCCTTTTCGGCATCTTTGGAAGCTGAGGATTCACGCACCCATGAGCATTTGGCTTCGGTCTTGTGCTTCTTTCCTTTCTCATGCTGTCCTCGGATTGGCTTGGGGAGGATGTGGAGGTGTTGAGTGCCGGGCCTTCGTCTGGTGCGTTGGCCTTGAAGGCTCGGGCGTCGGCCACACTTTTGAAGCTGTTTGCACAGATTATCAGGGAAGCGGTGTCTGTTATTTGCTTCTCGGCACGTGTGCCAGCAGGCTGTGCTCACTCACTCTTTGGAATCTGCTTGGGCCCTGGCTCTTAAGTTTTTGTTGCCCTTTTGTCCATTGCTACTAGTATTTGCGAAGACTGCTGTCACACAGATTCTATAGGCAGCTTCGTCTAGTTGTTGTCCTATGTTGGACTTGTTGCTTCTCCGGGGTGGCTGATCTTAGCCTTCTCAGAAGGGTCGTACCAGGGCTCGGGGTTCCTCCGGTCGGGGTGGGCCATTGGTGCCAGCTTCTGTGCCGGCCGGGTATGGCTTCGGCATCTGTTCTGGTACCTTTGGGGACTCCACCTCTCTCGCAATTGCTGGGTTCAGCCTCCGTGAGTCTTACGTCGGTTGCTGCGTCACTGGCTTCCTCTTTGGGTTTTTCGGGGTTCACTGCCTAGGGGCCTACCCGAGCCCTTGCTCATTGTGTTCATAGACGCGTCGTCTCTCGGCTGGGGCTTTGTGATCAGTACACACCAGGCAGGCCAGGGATGGTGGGGTCCGTCTTTCCATCGAGACGGAGTTTGCAGGAGTTTGCGGCGGTGTGGCTGTCGTTTCGGAGGGTTCGGGTTGCTCGGAGCTCCACAATCCAGCTCCATTCGAACTGCTCTCTAGTGGTTCATTGCCTGAACTTCGGGAGCTCTCTTTGGGCCTTGGCTCTTTGGGGCTGGTCACTTAGTGGCTCGTCTTCTGGTTTCTTGGGGTTTGGCTCCCTGTGCAGTTCATATCCGGGAATTGTGCAACATCCTGGCGGACGGCCTGTCCCGGTTCATTCCCCTGTCCACGGAATGGACGGTCGACAGCGACTCCTTCAGGAGGCTCTGCCAATCGTATGGGCTCCCAGAGGTGGACTTCATCTCGTCAGCATGGTCGAGGCGTCTCCCGATATATGTAGTGCCCTTCCCCGACTGTGGAGCCATTGCGGTGGATGCCTTTCGGCAGGACTAGTCGAGGTGGGGTTACCTGTACCTCTTCCCTCCGATCGAGCTGTTGCTTTGGGTTCTTAATCAGTTGGAGTCCTACCACTGAAGAGTTGTCCTATTGGCCCCTTGGTGGTCGGCCCAGCCTTGGGTTTCAGGCATTACTTGCTCGGTGTCTGTACCTGGGGCATTTTCAGCGGCTCCACCTCTTTCAGCAGATTGGACCGATCCGGGACATGGCTGATTCGTTTTACTACTCCTTCTTTCTTCGCGTATGGTCTTTTTGATGCGGGGTTTATCATTATATGTATGGTGATCATGTGGCTTCGTTGATGGTGTCCCACCTGCGAGCTTCTTCTCGGCCACAGTGTAAAGTTTCTCGCCATTTTTTCGCCATTTTCTGTCTTTGTAGGTTGGCAGAGCCGCTCCAGCTTACGTTCGGGGTGGATGTCACACCTGCCCCATTCCATAAGCTTTCTCGTGCTTTGTTTCACCTCTGGTCTGCTCATGCGCCGCCTGAGTCGTCCTGGTCCTTGGTCAGGGTGCTCTCTTTTCTCTCTTCTCCTCGGTTTGTGGTGGCCCCTTCGGTTTGAGATTTCTTCCAGAACGCTTGGTTTCTGTTGGCATTGGCCTCTGGGGGTCGGGTTGATGAGCTTCATGCTCTCCTCCGGTGCAGGGGTTTCTGCTCTTTCGGTCCTGGTGTTTTGCAACCGTCTCCTCCTTTTCTTGCAAAGAATGAGATGGCGGCTTTCTGGAAGGGCCCTTGGGTTATTGATGCTTTGTTGGTCAGGCCGGGGGTGCATCATTTGTTGTGTCCAGTTGTTGCTCTTTACTTTTGTCTGTGCACCTCGGCCTCTGTGGCCGGGGACGCGCTTTGGGTTGATCCGCTTTCCCTCATAACCTGTTCCAGGGCTCGGGTCTTCCGAGTCATCCACAAGGTTATTAAGTCTAGCCAGTCTGCAGTCTATCCTCGTGCAAATAACGTTCGTAAGTTTGGTGCTTTGGCTGCCATCTTCGGCAACATGTCTTAGGCTGTCATTTGGGCGCAGGGATTTTGGAAGTCAAACGGGGGTCCTGGCTGCCTGTCATTTAGTAAACATTCCTGGTCCTGGGCATTCTTGTGTTGCTTTGTGTGTCTGGTTGCAGCAAGTTGTCTCAACTTCAAGTTGAAGAGCATGGGGGCAACTGTTCCTCTTTTACTTGTCTTGGGTTTAGTAGCTACTTGGAGCTGAAGATGCTCTCCACAGAAAACCAGCATTGAACGTAATGAAATGCCATTTTTTTGGGTGATCCCCGGAAGCTTCCTGGCAACCCTCCCTCCCTCCAGTCAGCGGTTTTTCGCATTATTTGATGCTTAGCTTCCGAACTGGAGTGCTAGGTAGCTGGCACGGGGAGGTCCGGGTCTCCCTCCTTCCCCACTCAGGGAGGGAAAGGCTGCACGGACAAGCAACGTGGGGGTGGAGTGTGACATTTGCTTGTGTACTTGTTCCCTTGGGTTTGAATGGAGTTCTGCCTCTCTCTCTTCGGTCCATAGTTGTCATTTTCTTGCCATGTGGGTTTTTTTGTTTTGTTATGCCTACCTTCTTATGCCATCAACTGGGGTTAGACACCCAGAAACCCTTCTGGGTGTCTAACCCCAGTTGATGGCAGATAAAGGGAAAACTCCCCAACCATAGGGGGGGGGAGGAGGGTTTCTAGGGCCATTGCTCCCTGCAACCTCTCTGAGAGGGGCCAAGTTCTGGCTCGTGGTCCCCGGTAGGTTGAACCCCATAGACTAATGCCCCAGTCTAATGTATCGCATATTTCCCCGATAGCTCCAGGTATCTTTTGGAGCTCGCCCAGAAAATGCCGTATAATTACATTCAATGCAGGTTTTTTTCTGAATCCAAATTTTGAAGGGACAATCCAATGGGTGGATTTGGTGTTTGTTTAGAGGGTTCCATTGTAGGGAGGAATGGATTTAGGGGCTGCCTCTGTTTGGTATAATACAAGGAAAGCAAAACATAAAATGAAAGGTTTTTGTGTATCTTTTATAATTAAATAGCCAAGAATAACAAATACTGAACTAATAAAATATAGTCAGTTGAAATGACTTTACATGACAAAATGGTGACTTTGTAGTGATTTGCTTAGCTAAACGAACTAGAGGGTTCAGTTCCTGAACCGATTATGTGCCTCTGTAATCCTTTACACCACCGCCCACGGGATGGGTATGGGGTGCATAATAAAGAAAGAATTATTATATGTAGTGACCCCTTTACCCTATAGAATCCTGAATTTTTTATTATTATTATTAATTGTGAAATTTAATTTGGCTTTGATTTGTTGTGTATAGGAATACGTTGTATTTAGTGGGGTGGATTTTGTAAGGGGCACTGTGTTTATATATTCATGTAATATTAAAGATAGGGGTAATAATATTTAAAACTGGTATATTATTGTGATGTTCAGGGTGAAGTGAAGTTTGGTGTATGTATGGAGGACGAGAGTAGCAGAGAACTGCCACTCGCTGTGCTTTTCTACCGCTCGGTCCGCCAGTATGTTTATGCCATCCTCTATAACCTCCATCATCATACTTTCATGGCACGGAAGGCGAAGGAGGAGGGCCAGAGTAAGTATTGACATTCAATACTGTGTTTTATTACTAGCTTCCTCCAAAAATCCATCATAAATATTTAATTTTACTGTGAAACTGCACACTAGATTACATAGTATAGACTTTCCTTTTCTTTGTTCTTATAAAGATCTCTTCCAATTTAAAATTTTGAAACTTTATTCCTTATATAAGTAGAAATGTAATATGTCCATTTGTCTGACTGAAGCACAAAAGTGTTTTTCTATGTTTTAATGGAAGTTTTACAGACAGCTGGAGGGTTCACAGAAACAAATTATTGAAACTGCCAAACAACTTGGCAAACGATTCAAATGAAATGAGAAGCACTAAAATGTAGCTCGAACCCGTTAGTACCGATAGCCGTCAGGCAGTCCGACTCCCAGCTCACAGCCTGTTCCCCTTGGTCAGTTCTGGAATTGATAAACACCCACTGATGAACCAGCGATCCTGGAGGAAAGGGCAAGAATTGGGGGAGTCACTCGGGCTCTACCAGAAAGAGGTGTTTTATTACATTCAATGGTGGGTTTCTGGGGAAACACCCTCCTCCTCCTCCTCCTTCCCAGTCCCTCAAGCTTGCTTACCACCAAAAATGAAAACACAGGCCTTACTAGAGAGGAGAGATGGCAGGTATTAAGATGAACCGGAGAATCCTGGCTTGGAGATGAGGCCCAAAGCATCGCACAACTGACCGGGACCAGGAACGTTAAGCAAATACCAGGCTGCTGGAACCTAGTTAGAATGCCAAAACCCCCCAAGCTCGAATAGCCTATATTAGCTTAAGTTATGTCGGAGACGATCGCCTCTATAGTAGCATCCTCGTGGCGATTGTATGCCCAAGGATGGATAAGAGGCCAACAAGACTTAATGATGCTGCAGCTGATCTGAGAAATGCGAGCCTTGGAACAGGGGACCAAGGAAACAGGATCAACTCCCAAAGTCTCAACCTGGGCAGAACCGGTATAACGCTGAGCCTGAAACACTGCTGTCACTGTAATGCTGCTGCTACCACTTATAACAGTGGTTATAAGTGGCTGCTTAAGTGCTATTACAGACCCCTATGTACACCCAGTACTCACCATTGATAACCTGAGTATGGATGGAACACAAAATGCTCGAAGAGGGGATTCGAGAATTGCTTTACTGTAAAACCGAGATAGTTTGCTGCCACCACCCCGTGTAAACTATACCAATTGTTTACCACATAAACATCATTTCTGTTTTTCCTGCCATTAGTTATCTGGCAGTGGCTCATGGGGGAATGCTGCAGGCAGCAGAGGGGATTGGTTTAGCTCTCTTAGTACCTCTTGATAACTACTTTTTCTAAAGAGTTTGCAATACTTTACAATAACTGAGTGGAGAATGAATAGTATATACAATACTTAATGCAGCTGGCTCAAGGGCTATTGGTGACATATGTCTGCTTAATGACACATTGGAGGCAATCACCGTTAATTCAATATTTAATTAAACAAAAAATTATTGAATGAAAATAACATCCTAAGCTAGAAATTTCTTAACTAGGCAGTGAGCGTTGACAGTTCAATGTTATAACATCAGATACAACAGAACAAATCCACAAGGGCTGTGACGAGGGTTCGAACCTTTGTGGATTTGTTCATTTGATGCATCACGCTAGTGTGTTTTCTCTGTGTAATCAGATACAACATGTTATCTTTGAAATCACGACTCCAGTACTTTGGGCTAGCATTAGTAAGGCCTTCTTTATGGCATGGTCCCCTCCCCCTCCTCTTCCCTCCTAGTGACCCTGTATCACAGTCTGTCTCCTCGATAGCCTCGGTATAAATTAGCGCTCGGGAATAGCAGCTTGTTGTGGCAAACCACCTGCACTGTCTTCTCCCCAGCCCTCTGCAGGCCTTGTCTAGTCTGTTAATAGCATCAGAGCTCTCTCCATTCATCACTATTACCTTTGGGTCACCTTAACCAAAACAAACCATTTCCTGGTCTTAGTTGACCCCAGCAGACCCCAGCATATCCTAGCAGACCCCAGCAACCAGTTACTTGTGTCAGGGTCTGCTAATGCACTTACTTCTTGCTTGTTTGCTTCACTGGTATTTTGAGGGTGTTGCTCATTTCCTGTAATGTTTTATGAAATAGTAGATAATTATAGATCGAAATACAAATGGGAAAAGTTTTGGGATTTATGAATTACAGTACATAACATCTAGGGGAAGGAAAACCCTGATTTTAAACCTCCGCTGCCTTGCGGCCATAAAATCCGGAGTTGGAGCCACTAAAGGCAGTTCGTTGTTGACGTCGACCTCGTTCTGGCAGCTCCTGCGACGTTGCTGGAACCATGTGTATTGGCATTTGCCTTTCTATTGGATAATTTCAGCAACGTGGAGAGGGGGGGACCTGCTGCATGGGTAACAGCTTCTCCATATCTACCTACCCAGGCTTTGCGCCCTGTCAGGGTGCAACTCCATAGTCTTCCAAGACTGGGGGATGCCTACTACTGCATAACGTTTAGGTACAGGATGAGAGCTATGCTCATGGGGACCCCCGTCTTCCCAATAATCTTTTGTCATATGACACTTTGAAACTGCTGATAGTTTTGCCATCTGCAGCCTTAAATAAATTGTTCCAGGTGTCTTCAACTCTTTACAAAATATAATTTGCAAATGTTTTTCTGGCACCCATGTTTCCTTAGCTTGAATCTCTGGCCTCTTGTTCTTGAAGTTGCAGGTTTCAAATATTTATCCTAGGCCATTTTGTCTATTTCTATTACTTTTTAAATATAGTGATAATATTACCTCAATTTTTTCCCTTTTAATTTTGGCATATTCAACACCTCTAGCCTCTCTTCGTAACTCTTGTTATTTTCAGTTCTGGAAGCCACTTCCTATCTTGTCTTTGCACCTTTTCTAGTTAATTTATCTGCTGCTTGATATATGGACACTGTAAAACTGTTGTATATTCTAATTTTGGTGCCACATAATGTAGAGACAGTCTTGTTTTTAGTAAATACAGCAAACACTAACTCAAGCTCCGAGTGAATTCATTGATTGCAAATTTCTGCTGACTTGTACAAATTTGAGTCTAAGGTCATAATTGAAAGTGGCCACATTGGAGAGTGGTGTACTGGAGACACATTAATGTTTGAGCTTCACTTGACTGAGGTGCTTGGGTGTGTGTGTCAGCCAGAGCCAACTCTCACCTCTTGATTCCTCAACAATGATCTTGTGTTTATATACTTTTTGGGTTACGTTTTCTCATTATGGCACTTGGTGTGGGGAGTCCTGTCGGCTCCCTGGAGCTATCGGACTGATATACGATATATTAGTCTGGAGCATAAGTCAATTAGAGTTCAGCCTACCATGGACCACGAGACAGAACCTGGCCCCCCTCAGAGAGGCACAAGGAGCAATGGCTTATGAAAACCCCCCTGTGGTTGGGGGCACTCCATGTCTGCCATCGACTGGGGTTAGGCACCTAGAAAGGTAGGCATAACAAAACAAACCCCACCTGGTAAGAAAATTACAACCGAAGACCGAACCGAGAGGTCTGTCTGTTGGGTCAATGACAATGACAGTACCCTTTCTATTGACATTGAGATTCAAGTACAGGTGGCATCTGAGTTACATGCTCGGTTTAGGTTTGCTGCAACGCTCTAGGTTGGTTGCCCACTTGGATGCCCCGAGGTTGCTCTGTTTTGTTTATAGGGGACCCGGATTTTGGGGTGTTAGTCACTTCGACTTTGGTTCAGTCCGCGCTTCCCAGTCCTTTCCCGGCTGACGTTGTTCACCCTCCCCCCCTCCTTTGCTCCCGGCTCTGAAACATATGAGGGTTTTGGAGTCGGGGCAGAGTTTAGTTGGCGATGAGACTCGGGCAACTTCAGAGGTTGCCCCATATGAGTTGGGGACGAGGCATTCGAGCATGCATCTCCTGCAGAGGCTTCTGGGTCCTACTAGCAGACCCCCCCCCCCCTCTTCTTTGCTACCTTTCACCTGGACTCTGCCTTTTCTTAAGGGGTAGAAGGCGTGGAAGACGGTTCTGCCCTGTTTCTTGATTTGGAGGATCCCAGGGCTGGGGAGGAGTTGACCTGGAGGGCTTGGGGCCCCCTTTGATCTCGCTTGGGTTTTAGTGCCCTCTTTGTGAGGTTTGTTATTGCAGGGGAGAGAGGTTTTCTTACCCCCTTGGGTTCCTTGGGTTCCTCGACTCCTTCCTTCTTGAGGTTTGCTGCCTCTTGAATCTCACCTAAGGAGGTTCAGGAGGCTCTTATGGTGTACCTCTAGCAAGACCTGGATTCTGCCTCTGTGATGGTTCCGTCCTCATTTGAGTTTGGTTCTTCCCCGTATTGGGTGCGTTATGAGGTCCCGGAGACTTCCTGGCTGGCAGACTGCCCATTGTTTTCACAGGGAGCGTGGCATGGGTTTTGTTGGACCCACACGCTTGAATGGCAGGAGACTGCTACCATTCTGCAGGTTTACCTTGGGGTTTGAGTGCCTTAATGCATGCTTGTTTGCCCCTGTGCTTCCTCGGAATGTTGGCCTTGTGTACAGCTGCACGTGCAGGTTCCCAGAGGGCATTTGGGCCCCAGAGGGCATTTGGCCTCGGTCTTGCGCTTATTTGTGGAGGCGTTGAGTGCTGGGTTTCCGTCTGGTGTGCTAGCCTCGACGGCTCAGGCGTCAGCCACACTGTTGAAGCTGTTTGCGCCGATTCTCAGGGAGGCGGTGTCTCCATTTTTTGCTTCTCACCTCGTGTGCTGCCAGGCCGTGCTCACTCTGTCCTTGGAATCCATTTTGGCCCTGTCTCTTAAGATTTTGTCGCCTTTTTGTCTGTTACTGCTTGCGGAAGCTGCTGTTGCTCAGTTTCTGCAGGCGGCCTCATCTAGTTGTCGTCCTATATCGGACTTGTAGGTTCTCCGCGGTGGCCGTTCTCGGGCTTCTCGGAAAGAGTCGTGTCAAGGCTTGAGGTTCTTCCAGTCAGGGTAGGCCATTGGTGCTAGATTCTGTGCCGGTGCTTCCTTCGAAGCATGT